CAACTCACAGTGTACGTAATATTAATCATTAGCAATCTTGCTCGCATGCATGAAAATCGGCCTATTGATACTTTTGGCAAATACAGACCACCACTCGAGTGGTGTTCCTTTGTTACCCATGCCCCCACGTTTATTGTTAGCAAGCCCCAAAGAAAGGGTTTGTTGATCCGTATGGTTACCTGGTGCCCGCCCCACTGACGCAATCAAATATGAAGGAGGGGGGGGGGGGGGTCCATTGAAATTTATCATTGAGAGGTGAAAAGGATAGAAATTGAATCATTTATAATGCAAGTTAATCTTACTGATAATCGTGAATAATTTAAACTAAACTTCTACCTATCTACCAAAAAGAAACGGTGAAAAGATTGAAGGGATGAAAAGGAACACGCGACTCCCCTGAACTTGTATAAAGTAAAACATGGGGGGGGGGGGGGAGAGAAAGAAAGAAAAATCCGCTATTTTTCCCTAGCGAGAAATAAACATTATTAAATACATGAAATAAGGGATTTGTTTTTTGTTAAAGGTTCGTTGATATAACTTGTAAACGGTGGATATAACTTGTAAGCGGTGGATATAACTTGTAAACGATGGAAGAAAATGAGTGGAAGACGAATAATATATATTCATCGCACTCAAATTTCTCCCAAATTGCCCATTACATGATTATCCAACAACTGTACGGCAATTTACAGAGGAGCCCTACATGTACGACACGTTAAGAAACAGCTCCCATTTATAAGAATCTCTTATCTCCCGAACGTCTTTCCGGATAATGGTCTGTTACCATGGCAACAATGGTAATTGCTCTGAGAATGGAAAACAGGCTCTCGAGTGAGCTCTCCTTACAAGTAGACAGCTCATCAGAGAAGACAACCGGATATACCGGAAGAAGCCTTACAAATTAGTGAGCACAATTTGTATAGTCATATGAAGTGCACACTAAGATGGGGCTTCTCACTCCTGTAATACAGGTGTTATCAAGGAGTTATTACTTGGTTTTCTTTTTTTATAGATCAATTAGTTATCGGGCAGATTCCTTGGTAGTATTAAATTCATAAAACTCGATTTAAGACAAAAATTGAAATGCCATCTTGATTCTTGATAATAAGCTTTCCATGTAATACATATTCTTTTTTAGAAAACACAATTGTATATTTGTATTAGTAGACTAGCCGGGTTGAATAAGCAGATAAATATCAATATGTACATGATGTATATACATGTATGTATGTATTCTAGCTAAGCCTCCCTTACTTGCCCCACCCAACAACCAATAAATGTGAGTCATCATCATCTCTCTCGCTCTCTCTTTCTCATGCTCTCTCTCTCTCTCTCTCTTCATCTTTTTTTCTTGCACCCTCTCCCAAACTCCACCATATTCCAAAATAAAGAACTTGAATTAGAGCATACAATACACTTCTTCAGGCATGACATACTGTGTACGCAACTCTCTTCTCAACCCTTTTGCAACCATACATCCAACACATATCACTTTCAAAACTATGGGTTAAAAAAATAAATTATAAAAAATGAGAACAAAATGAATATCCACATTATTCTGACCAGCTTTTGTTTTCCCATTTCTTTAATTCCAAGATCTTCAAAAGACCTTGAGTCAGAAAAAAATTGTAGGATTAGCATACATTCATGCTTTGCCTACATTCTTTCTACATAAGTACAAAAGGAAAAAAAAACAATTTATAATAGTCATCACATCAATGCATTTCACAAAGTAGTGAGTAAAATATGAAATTCACTGAAAATTGTAGTGGCATTTGCATGAATACACAAATATTTAAATAACAATCTTTATATCTTTATACACACTTGTAAAATTCTGGTACTGTACAAAGGCCACATAATGTGCAATCAGGTTCTGTACAATTCATAGGTATATAATATGGGCCATTTATGCAAAAGGTTAAATATCAGCTGATAATATCTGTTAATACATGGTACATGTAATGGACAGGTACCATCTAGCTCCAGACCTTCAGCTCAGACAAGATACATACGCTACCTGTAGATATCCAATCTCCATTAAACAATGAAGGCTAAATATGTACCGGTAAGCAGCTTTCTCTTTTCACTCATTAAATTGGCAACTGTTTTCATATCAGTACAAAACATGCTTTGGTACATAAAATATGAAGGCAGCGCATATTAATAAAAACATGTAAAAGATACCATCGCCTTCCTCTGTTAAACATTTCAAAAGTGAAATATTATGCAAAAGTGGATTGGTAAAAGTATATAGCCTTCAAACAGTAGTAACCATACCACTATCATATGATCTGTATGGAGCCTAGCCGGAAGGGCATTAATGCAATGCATGTACAGGTGCACTTGTACTTTAACACCTGATGGCTCTAAAGAATGAAAAGACAAATGAATAGCTACACCTTCAGTACATTGCATAGCCGAATGCTAATTTACAGCCTGCTGGTATTGAAAAGCCAAAAAGTTGATTCTTGGATGAAATAATTATCTTGAGGGGGTGGGGGGGGGGGGGGTCTTTCATTATTTCTGACCTTTAAATGCAGGTCAGATAGGCAATGCTTTGAAAACACCATTTTCTAAAAAGATAGGGACAGAGTTGTAACAAAAACTTCACTAATACATTTCAGCGAGAGAGAACAAGCTAAGGACAATTTCAGCCTTCAAACAATTTACTCATGGTTCAAGTATTGGTCAACAACATCAGTGGATACACTGGTAACACTACACATATCTATATCAGTTTTTGTATAAGCCTATATTTTCATGTACATTTTCACTTTCACAGATGACTAGGGAAATAAAGACCTTTTTTGCGAGTTGATGTTTTCACAATAATTAATACATGCTACTTACAATTCATGCTCACACAATGCATTGTAAATACAAGTTAAACAACTAATTTTTGTGTTTTGCTTATTTTGCAACCCGACAACAAACCACATATTAAAGTCATGTAAATAGACATGTGACTCATCCCAAAAATAATGCCTTTTACAGTGCTATGACAATTTTCTCAAAGCTATAAATGCTTTGTGTTAAAATATCTTTCAATTAGTCTTTTCTACAATTGGGACTCCTCATAAAGTGATAGGGGGACCACACATTTGGGGCCCTATTACAATCAATGCTGTTTCATATTGTCTGTCTGGGTTTCCGTAAAAACTATTGATATAAAATAAAAGCGAGAAATGTTCCTCTGCTAAAATCCATAAAAGTACTCTGGCGAATTAAAAACTACATATACAGAGGTGTTGAATATATGCAGTGGAATTGTAATGGTATAAAATATCACGCTGTCCCGCAGCTTTTTGTTTTCATCATCGTAAAAATAAGAAATTATGTATTTTTACCATAGTTTCTTCTCATGTTTTATTAAAAATATAAACATCAGTGATAAGAAAGCCGAGTACACAGTCAAGTGATGTTTGATAAAATAACACAAGCCAATAGCATGAAGAAAATTTGTACATGAAAAGATCACTGCATTCACTAACATGTGCCGTATCCATTACTCTATCACTTGACAAATTATATTGATACAAAAACAACTTGGTTTGTAGCAGTGAAGACTTGCAGAATACTTCAAAAAAGAGTACCGTATTTGCCGGCGTATAGGCCGCAGTATTTTTGGAAGAGAAAATATCAAAAAGTCGGGGTGCGGCCTATGCGGCGAAAGAGTAAATTTTTTTTTTTTTTTTTTTTTTTTTTTTTTTTTTTTTTTTTTTAGTTTCGATTTATGGCGCTATGCCTGGCAATGTCTCCCAGCTCAGTAATCAGTGTGTTGACTCACCACTCGGAAACTACAACAACACTAAAATTTGACTGTCATCTTGGTTTGAAAGTAATCTTTCTAATAGATATCAATATGTAGTTTATAATAATAGTTCCTCAAATTTTTTCTATAACAAATGGTGTACCACAAGGTACACCACTGGTACCATAGGTACTTTATTGTTTTTAATTCACATTAATGATCTTACACATTCTTCTAAAAACGACATTGTTACTATTATTTGTGACAAGTTTACAAGCACAAATCAGCGCCTTTAACTGCACCTCGATGTTAAATGAAGGTCCTTCCACGCGTGGGTTTTCGGCAGCAAAACAACAACAACAAAACAAAAACACGAAAAAAAAAAAAAAAAAAAAAAAAAAAAAAAAAAAAAAATCGTTTTTTTTTTTTTTTTTTTTTTTTTAATGTCAAAATCGGGGGTGCGGCCTATGCGGGGGTGCGGCCTTTACGCCGGCAAATACGGTAATACATACATACAAAAACATGTTCATGTACATGAACCAAATACTGAAGATAAAAGAGGTGCGATTTTATCAAGTGAATTTTGCATGGCTTTGAAAAAGAGCATCTGCATTTTCAGTATGCACCTGACATACCCCGAAATATGCAAAGCAAAAAAGCAGCAATGTTAATGTGTAAATAAAACCATTCTCAAAATGTGTACATCAAGGTGACAATCCAACTAATTCACACATTATCAACATCAAAGTCTGAACAAATTCAAATATAGAAATGTGAGAAATCAATTGCAGCAACCAGATGCTGGATGATTTGACATCATAAGTGTGAAAAGGGAATATTTAATATCAAGGGTAAAATTTAAATACTCGTGCGTGCTGAACATCTATCACTAGAAGTGTTAAGTACACCTGTGAGTTTTCCTATAGAATGCTTGAAGTAACAGATGTTACTAATTTGAAAGCAACACCTGGCTGCATTGAAAGAAAGTTAATTGTTGATTGGTGTTTGGAGCTTATACTAAAGATCAGGGTTAAGACAGACAGGTGGACAGAGCTAGCCTAGAAGCTAGAATATCCCAAAGGTCAATGCATTCATTCCAGTCTGGCACTGTCATCAGGCTCACTATCACCCACTAAAGTCATATCAACTTGATCAATGCCTATTACTCATGACTCTGTGTATACAAGGACTAATGGTGTAGGCATGTGCAACGTTGACATACCGTACATGTACTGCTGTGCGGGCGGGCAGGCAGACGGGCTACACAATAGGACTGCACACAATACGTGTGTTGGCTATGGGGAATGGAAATGAATTTCTAGGCAGATGATGTAATATGCAGTCATGGCAATTGTATTGATGTGGGCCACATAGTTTTCATTATAATCATATAGTACTAAGGTCATTATTAATGAGGGTAATTTATCACCAGTGCAACTCTGATTATACTATAAGACAAGACTATAAATCCACCCATGGATTTGTACACAAATGACATTTAAAACACGGTAGTGGCAATCTTCAAACAATGACTAATCCACTAACAGAAAAATCAGATTTGACTCAATCACAAGTACCAGTATACAATTAGCTACTCCTAACTGTCATTGTACAGATAACATGAGCTAAATCATGGATATAAACAGTGTATTATGCATGTAGGCCTGTGTATTTCAAAATGCCCTTGTGCCAGTACCAAATGTAGTTTAATTTCTCTCACAAAAAAGACACATTACATGGCATGTGCCGTCTAGCTAGTACATGTAGCTACACACTACATTATTCTAGCTTTGTGACTGCCAATATCATGTACATGTTGTGCAAGCCAAGATCAACTTGGCACATGAAACTTGCATCACACCTTCTAAGCCTCACAACTAGGAATCTTTGTACACTACACATACTGTAACATATGCCATTCCCTATACTAACAAACGCCAGGCAGGCACTGCAGGCGGACAGGCATTTATACACAATGACACTGATTCTCTTCCTGAAATTGGTGGAAAGAGGGAAAAACGCATTGTCTTGCACTGGGGCACAAGGGGAAGTCCCATATTAATACTTGTATGTTACATTGCCTAATATGGCCAATTGTCTCAGAAACTCAAATTATTGATTCCCTAGTAAAACTCTTGCATTGTCATTCATAACTCCAGAAGTACAAGGTTCGATATCACACATTGATCTAGTTTTGTATTAAATATATATAGGATACTCTCAACATTTCTGGTACTTGTCATTGCATTGTATTTTTCTATTTATGCAACCCGTCTTTCCCTCAAACAGGAAAGAAAATTGTACTAATTTTTCAACATTCATGAGTCATTATATTTATTCAATTTGAATGTGTGAGTAAATCAATTCAAAACACGGTGGATAACGGGTCAATGAGAGAAAACAAACACACTGAACCATATCTTTATGAATAGTGAATCACTTCTGATATTCCTTTCTTTCATCTCTATTTGCTTAGAAATGCATTGATGCAGAGAAGTGCAATCAAACAGACATTGTTCAGAGGCTTGACATTCAATGCACAGACGGAGTATCAATTGGCATTGTGAGTATAGACAACCTTGGCTAGTTTACAAGCCATGAATCAAATATAGTTTGATACACCCCATAATGTAAAGAAGCAATCAAGTAAACTGTTCACCAAAGAAAGTCTTGGGTTAAGTTAAAAAACTACATGTATGTTGTGGCGATTACACTTCAACAACGCACATTAGTGAAATTTGAAGGAAAGCACAGACAATTTTTGTTGAAATTGGAATTCAAATACAGTCATTTGGGCGGAGCTTTTTCACATTTCACTGCACAGCAACCATTACAGCTAGAAGACCATTTTAGAGAAAGAGAAATGTTTGTGAATTGTGTCAACATTTATATCCACAGCTCAAAAGCTGATTCACATGTATGTTTAATAGCTTACATACAGTTCAATCAATAACATGGACGGAAACTCTTTGAATGCTTTAATCCATCTTGAAGTTTTTGCAGCTTCATGTAAAAGTGTAATTTTGCACATCGTAAGACATTTATAAAGCAAAATCAACATGGAATACATGGAATGTATGTGTATACCCAATTTAACATACAGACATACTATACCATCTCTGCACAATCATCAAACTACACATTTTGTTTTTGGTAAGAGGTAATGCAGTTTGGTTTTGAATGCTTCATTGGAGTTTTATAGATTTCCTCCCCCCAAAAACCTCATAAACACTATTGATTTTGGCACCAATTCTATCACTTAGCAATAATAAATCATTTGAGAACTACATGTATTATGTGCTGACAAAAGGTAGTTCAACTACATTTGTAAAAGCTCATATTGAGATACATGTAAGGCATCAAATTCAATACAATCTGCAAGGATCAGATGCATAAATGTAACTCCTATCATGACACTGTAAACCATTTGTGGCACTGAGGCAACACACACAGCAAGTTATGGATAGTATTTGACTTGCTCATTTCCTTCCTAAGCAAGTTGTTCCATTTCTTCATATCAGACAGCTGAAGAATCACCGCTACAGCTTCTGCAGGCAGGACATGTTTAAGACTAAGTTACTATTTTTGGTAGAACGGTTCGCTGCGATACATCTTGCCTGTCTTTACCAGCTGCACCAGTGGGAGGAAGCTTAGACACTGCAGATGAGCCATGACGCTTATTCTTGGCTGAGGTGGTGTTTGCATGTCCATCTGCAGGTGGCTTTGGTAGACGGCGACGAAGCCAGGAGTGGCGGAGGGCTTGACTTGGAGTCATACGACTTGATGGATCCCATTCGAGACACCGCTTCAGGAAATCCAGGAAGAGCGGGTCATCACACCCTTTCAGTGCTTTCACAAGATCCTTGCTCCCTGGTGGACCACGTACCTTCCCTCTGCGAGATCGCCCTCCGTTGAGTACCGTTGTTCCATCGGGAAGTGTCGTCACCGTACAGTAACGTGGCTGGCCTTTGGAGTTGATGAAGTTCTTAGATCTCTTGGAAGTGTCAATGAGATTTTGGGAGGGCATGCCCATGACTTCAATCATGCAGGCTAACTGATCACCCTCATCTTCACCAGGCAGCAGTGGGTAACCTGTGAGAAGCTCGGCCAAGATGCAGCCTAAGCTCCACATGTCGATGGGCATGCCATACTTTCCTCCGAGGATCACCTCCGGTGCTCTGTAGAAACGGCTCTGGATGTACGTGTAAATTCGTTGATGCTCATAGCAGCTGGAACCAAAATCAATCACTTTGATTCCACTCCTTCCCTGCTGCTTGAGGAGGATGTTCTCAGGCTTAAGATCACAATGAATGATCTTGTTTCGGTGAAGTCCTTCCAGGCACTGAAGAAGCGAATGAGCAAACTTCCTGACAAGTTGCAGACTGAAACCCTGGAACTTATTTTTCTTAATGAGTTCATACAGGTTCATGCTTAGAAGTTCAAATGTGATGCATATGTGATTACGGAATGAGAAGCTCTCAAACATGTGAATGAGATTCATGTTATTGTCTTTGTCTTGTTTACGCAAGTGTTCTAAGATTCGAATTTCTTCCTGGGCCTGACGATGGAAGCGTTTTTCGTTACGCACCATTTTCACAGCAATATGCTGATTTGTTTTGTGATCATACACTTTCACGACTTGTCCAAAGCTACCTTTTCCGAGGATTTTCAACACTTCGTATCGATACGCGACATGATCATGTTGAACATGAATGTAGGATCCTTGATCATCGTCATATCCACAATTGCTCGCTCCACCTATCACACCTTGTCGTTTCTTTGCATTTGGTCCAGTAAAGTATATATGAGGATAGTTGAATATTTCATGGTGTTCATATGAAGTGAGTTTGTGCATGTATAATTTCATGCTTTCTTCTGGTGTCATCGGCAAAGCTCTCCCTTTCGCAGATCCATTTTTCGATCCATCACTTGCTGGACGTTTAACATCTGGCAAAGCATTTGCATCATGTGATAAATGACCATTCGCTATCACTTTATTTTGCACTTGCCTTTTAAAATTGTGGTTATCGTCCGTTTCAAAGAGCTGCGTAACTTGCAAACCGGTGGGGACATTTTCGTTGGTTTTCTTCACCGCCCCGATTGTGTGGCTCTTGATCGGGGGCAGCTCGACGTGCGAGCCATGTCCATGGTGTGGGTAGAGCGCCGTGGTAGCTGTGTCTCCCTGCGTTAAAGATCGCGTCCTCGACGCCTGTAAATTAGGCTTTCTTGCAATTGCGTCCACCATCGAGTCAACCATTTCGTTCCTCTTAAAAGAAAGTATGAATTAGCGTTGCATTTCGGGCATAAAATCCATTTTTACAACGTTTTCTTGAGCGATAGTTTTCCTGTGGTGCGGCATTCAATATGGCTGCATTAAGTCCGGGGAAGCGACACCATGGAATGTGCCCTTTGTTGCTATAGAGATGTACTGGAGCTCGCTTGTTTACAACGTCACCATTAGCGTGACGTTTCTTGCCAACTATAGAACACATGATCACAAAGCGCCAATCAAAAAGTCCGTCGAAGCTTATTTGCATAACAAAGTGAAGAAGATTTCACATCTCTTGTTGATGGAGACGAAATCGATACATGCGCTGAAGTAACCATTCTCTTTCACAAAACGATATCCTGTTGTAGACAAAATTGGAAAATTAAAGCTACTCCACCCTGACATTATCACATTTCAATAAAAGAAAAGGAAAATCAAATAGGGCCTAGAGGATCTATATGGTTGATTCTTTTTCAAACTTATTTCTTGTCGGGGGGGGGGGGGGGGCCAGATTTTGAAAAAATAGGATTCCAACTAATGCTATTTTGCTAAAGAGTCGAGTCTACCATCTTAATTAATTGGCCGCAAAACACACTATATGCAAGAAATTTTGACCGATAGGCCACATTTGTTTTTTAAATTATATGGATCAGATCGCGACCAAAAAAGTGGTTTACTAAAAGAAGCAAAATAAGTGTCGCGAGTTATTTCAGTATCCTCATTGGACAGCTCTAAAGGCAAACTTTAAGATGACGAATATTAGGCCTACAGGTTGCCGTTTGTTCGAGAGAAATATTGGACGGGTAAAAATATTGTCGGAAATTCATAATGTACAATTCACCATTATTTTGTAAAGAGTTTATACTAATCGTCAAAACAGACCTATGTCCCCTCGAAACGTTTTCCAAAGTGGAGTATTAACGATCAGCTAGTAGAGCGTAGCGTAGATTTGAGTGGGGTCCAGGGCCGGAGCCCCTGAAGCTCAGGGGTTAATTTTAGGCATTTAATTATGGTCAGACTGTACCAATTCAAAACTGTATTAAGACATATTTATTCAAAATTGCTTTTGATGAAACTAACTTTGTTCACAGTAATGTATATTTCGTATGTTTTGTAACTTTTGTAGGTTTATTATTTTTCTATTATTAATACTATTTTATTATAAGCGTATTTAAAAACCTTATTTGTGACACTGGCAGGTCACTAATTGGCGTGGGGTCCAGAGGATGAGCCCCTTAAAGCTCAGGGGTGTTAGTCATTTATTAACGGTCACTGATGAGCATCCAGGGCCCATCTTAGGGCCCTTGGTGGGGTCCAGGGGACAGAGCCCCGGAAGCTCAGGGGTTTTATGTATTTTCCAACAAACGCATACAAGAGTATAATTCACACAAAAAAATCACGGAAAATCATGTTATTTCAGCGACATTTGTAAATCACTGGAGGTATCGAATTAGAAAATAACCCAAATTTGAATTGTATCGAGGGGAGTGCAACCCCCCCCCCCACCCATCAGTTCGCCAGTGTTCAGGGGCTCATATCTTCTCACCCCCCCCCCCCCCCCATCCCCCCAAACAAAAAAAGCGCACACGGTTTACGCTTTCCCATCCTCTCACAATATTTCCACGATATGCGCGTTAGTGGTTATTATCAAATTCTCCATTTTTGAAATGTGGGCATACTGAATATTAAGAAATTTTAATTCCTGTTAACTCTCCCTTTTCTTTGAATGGAATATAATTGCTATTGTGAATCGATTATTATTTAGTTTTAGTATTTTCTTTTTGGTTAAAAAATACAAACCATTTTTTTAACTCCTTTACTGCTCTTTTTTTCTTGCGGGGGGCGAAAATACCCCTCCCCCCTCCACTTCCGACACCCTTGGGCCTACAGTTCGAAAAGACTATTTCTCCATTAAAGAAAAAGTGACCACTTCATGACGAAATCTGAAATAGGTCTACGCCAGGTCAATGCCAAATTTACAAGTTTTTAAGATTACTGAAAAACAGTTGTCAGAATAATCATTGATAAAATTCAGCGGTAAGCCCGAAAGCTAGATTTGTTTTCCATTCTGTGAAGGCAGTGAGGAGGAGGGCACAAGGGATCACTTTTTCATTTTGGAGGGCACCATTAAAATGTAGCTCAAATATTTGTCTATGAGGGACCATATAGCAACCGACTGAAATGTTGACTTTTCAAGCATTAAGACTTTTCTTTCTAATGCATTACAATCATGGGTGTCGATTTGTATCCGTGGTTGGGGGGGGGGGGATGATAGGTGCTAAAATAAAATATTTTCGGCGATGAATCAAAGCAACCAAGAGGTAGAAGCGTGTGGCAGGTTGCACCCCTCCCTTCCAAGTTATTAACTTTTCCAAGTCACCCTCAATACAGATAATATTTCAGAGAATATAAGAGTGGTAATAAAAGTAATAACATGCTAAATGTTAGTCCTGACTCTTGCCTGCAGTGTAAGCCTACCAGACTGATATCATCAATTATTAAACGAAATTTAGACATTTCCAAAACAAAATCCAATGGTGAGGGATATCAACTTGTGAAAGTAATAAATTTATGTTACCAGTGGGCAAATGCATTAAAAAGCAACCAGGAAAGGATCATCTAGACAGAAAATTATTTATTTCCTGGTGATAGAAACATACATTTTATGAATATTGATGTCTCCAAACAACATTCATCGTGAAAAACCCATTCCAATATTATGTGCAAGGAGATCTCAAAAAAAAAAACATAGTCCTCATTAGTAAATGAAAAACATATTGCTTTTTGTTTTTCATTTGACCCTCTTCCTCAACTGAATCCTCTCTGCGGAAAACTCAATTCAATGAAACAGAATATCACTGATGCAAAATTTGGTTCTCAAAATGACAGAAAATGTCCACTCCTGATCTCATACAAACTGTCTGTTTCTTAAAAACATAATATAAAACTTACGTTCCAACTACCAAACAACGAACTTCCATTATCTCCTTCTTCACCCAGATATACTTATCATACCAGATACGCTCTATATATAAGCATATTATTCCCCTAAGGCCCTGACCAGACTAGCACTATTTTTTTCTTCAAAAACTATAACCAGTCTTAGAAGGTGCATTATTATTGGAAGGGTTTTTATTAACAAAACTTCAAACTTAATAACATTCTTACCTTCAAAAACACCTTAACTATCTATGAACTTTGTTCAGGTGTCTATGGAAAATAGATGCATGTGTTCATAATTTCTCTCGAAATTTAGGTTAATAATTTTGTTCATGGTAAATAGAGGAAAATGTATATCATTATATCCAATTGCTATCAGAAGATTTTGCTCTTCAATTGTTTTACATGTAGAGATATAAATAAACAAAGAAATGGATAAAATCAATAAAAACAAAATTGATAATGAGTATGAATCAGGGAACAAACTGAAAGTTTCGTCTCCTACATGCTGCCATTCGGACAAAACCGATACAATATTTTATTACTTTACTTGCATTATGAGAAAAAAAACGCATCATCAACCCCACTTAGCTTTAAAAATCACTTCAGATTGAACTGGCCAAAAGTCACGTGATATTCTTGCTCAGATGCTTTCCTTTACCTTTAAGAGTTCTTTATATTGAGGAATTGGTTGACATTTTTTTCTTGGCAATAATGCCCAAATTAAAAGAGTAAAACGACTGTAACTTTTAGCGCGTTTTGAAAAATGTTTTAGGAAATATCAGGAAATAAAATGAGTGAAAAAACAAACAAATAAAGATACAATGACGTGAATTTCAAAAAGGGTAAACGGAAACAACATAACAAGTGAACTATCTTATAAGTTATATTTGGCGCACTGCATTTATATGATGCTGTTGAGTGAATAAATTGAATAAATTGATCAATTCCTGATGAAGCCGTATGAGCGAGAATTCAATTTATTCTTGTCTCATATACGGTTGTCTCATTTACTTCGTTTTCTATTTATATATGTATGTATTATGAAAATGAGATAGCAAAATGTGTATATTGATGGTCATCTTGCGAGTAACTTACTACTTTTTTTTTTTTTTTGATGGTGGATTATTGGGGGATGATTGTACAGGCCACCCCCCCCCCCCCCCACCCTCGGGATCGACACCGGCATGATTACAATGCTTTCCTCTGGTTTTAAACAAGAAATGTAACACTTGATATGCTTGCACGTTTTATTGTATCATAAAGGGGGTATAGATAGATAGATAGTTTATTGGTTTCCACGATATCTCATTTTACAAGAGTGTAACAACATATTGAAAAATGATTATAATCTACATGTAGATACAATACCGGAACACACTATTCAGAAGAAAAAAAAATTGTCCTTCAGTTGAACTTACGAGATATATCTATCCTGCTGACAACAAGTCTTCAATTAGTAATGCGTGACATTTTAATAATTGTCATTCTAATTTTGTTTTAATCTGATATGGTGACTTTCTGATCTCCGTTTCTCTTTTACATTTTACTCTTACTAGACCCCTCCCCCCCCCCCCCCTCCCCCGTCATGGGCCCTGTTACATAAAAATTGCTACCAATAACAAGTTACATTAACTATTATAAGCTAGTGAAATCGTGGCAATTGATTGGCCGAGAGCAAATTTTTCATAGGAATTTGTAATTTGTTTTATGAAACAGGGCTCTCTCTCTCTCTCTCTCTCTCTCTCTCTCTCTCTCTCTCTCTCTCTCTCTCTCTCTCTCTCTCTCTCTCTCTCTCTCACTCCCCCCCCCCCCCCCTCTCTCTCTCTCTCTCTCTCTCTCTCTCTTTCTCTCTCTCCATCTCTCTTTTTTTCTCTCTCCTTTCCAACTTTTCCATTTGGTACAACACATAATGATTAAAAAGAAGGGGAATTGTTTTGGTGATTCAACCAGTCTCCTTTCCCATATTGACTTCAAATTCCTTATGATATAACAGAAAAAACAGTCAAAAATTCAGCCTAACTATTCAAATTGTCATATCGTTTTGAATTTTATTCAAAAACAGTGCATTGGTTCATTGACATCAGGTGCATGCCAAATGTCAACAACTTGGTAACAACATGTTTGAAGCCATTTTAAATCTGTTTCAGATACATCACTACCAAGAGAAGACCTTCATAATTAGGAGACACAATTGCTATAAAAATGAAATAAATAAAACAAATAGGTATATGTGTCTTGGACAAGTAT